GCCTTTGTGATCTCTTCAAGGTTATATAATATTGTAACTCTCACTTCCTAAGAAGAAGCCCTGAGAGCTTGAGGAAAAGCTTCCAGCTCATTCCTGAAAATAACCTGGTTCTGTTCCTGGTTTTGTCACTTATTGGCCAGGTCATTTGTGCAAGTGATTTGGTGTTTGCTTATCATATTATATGCACAATAGCAACTGCTTAAAGAAGACTTCATGCAAAAGACACATGCTGTTATCTTGATAGTGGGGTTCCCTTAAAGTTTTAAAAAAAAAAAACAGGGCAGTAATGTTATATACACCACTAAAGGAGGCAAGCAGTTTCTGCTCTAGAGACTTTTACTGTGATCTAAAGTTAGCCCTTCATTTCTCTAAGTTTTACTTTGGGAAGTCTTTCTGTTTCATTCACAAACCTTCTTTCTTGAAAGCCTCAAGCTGCTTTCAAAATTTTATTGGCGCCTGACCTTATCCCAAGAATCTTAAGTCTTTCTCAATGTGACATTGTATTAAGACTTCTCTTTTGGATCCATTAACTAAATAAAATTTTAAAAATAATTGGTCATAATTTGTCCATGTATTTTTATGTCACATAGTTTTAAAAAATATCATATTTGTATTCATTTCTATAAAGAGTTGTACATCAGGCTACTGTAAATAACTCTACCCTACATGATAACATGATCTCTAAGAGATGAATCAGGAGCTACTTAAAACAGTTGGTAATACAGAGATCATGGGGCCCCTCAAGATGCCCATGTCCTAATTCCTGGAATATGACTATTTTACCTTACTTATCAAAAGGGAGTTTGCGGATGCGATCAAGTTAAGCTTCAGGAACTGGGGAGATTTCCCTAGATTGTCTGAGTAGGCCCAGTGTAATCATGAAAGTTTTTATAAGGAGATCAGAGAAGAGAGAATGTAAGCTGCTGGCTTCAAAGATGGACGGAGATGTCACGAGCTAAGGAGGGAGATGTCACAAGCTGAGGAGGAAGAAGTCACAACAATGTAGGCGGCTTCTAGACACTGGAAAAGAGCGAGAAAATTGATTCTCCCCTCAAGGCTCCAGAAGGAACAGTTTTCCCCAATACCTTGATTTACATTTCTGACCTTCAGTATTGTGAGATAATGCATGTATATTGTTTAAAGCCACTAAATTATAAACACATATTAGTGGTAATTGTTATAGCAGCCATAGGACACTGATACAGAAACGTTTATAAGAAATCACCACCAAAGAACTTATTCATGCAACCAACCACCACCTGTTCCCCAAAAACCTATTGAAATAAAAAACAAAATACAGAAAACAATATTGCCACTGCACACAGGAATTCTTGCAGGTGGATATCTGATAATCTGCTAAAACATTATAATTATAATTCATTCTGCTTTTTGATAACCGTCACTATAATTGGTGTGTATTCTATAGAGTTTTGCTTAATTTGAGCCTGCTGAAAAAATTATGTCATTTGATTAATAAAGTTTTTTCTCTAATGTTGAAAAACTTAAAATAATTTGAGAGATCCAGGATGGCTGATCACTAGCAGCTCGGGATTGCAGCTCCCACTGAAAGAGCAGAGAACGAGAGGACGCCACACTTTCAGATCAATTTTTGTTGCTCACGCACCAGGAGATTCCCAGCAGAGGAGCCCCACGTGTCGCCAGCGCGACTCGAGGCCGGTGAGGCGGTTTTGCCGCTGCCTTGGTGTGGCGGTTCTTGGTCCAGAGTCAGAAAAGCACCATCAATCTTAAAGCCACTGTTTTGGCCGGCGCAGTGGGTTGCTCAGATTCTAGCGCCGGGAATCAACAAGTTGGACGTCCATTCAGAAACCCAACTATAAAGACGGTAATTATAAAGACCACAGATGGATAAATTTATAACGAAGGGAAGAAACCAGCCTAAAAAGGCTGAGAATACCCAAAATCAGAATGCTTGTCCCTCTTCAGGGGATCACAGTTCCTCATCAGCAACAGAACAAGGCCTGATGGAGAACGAGTGTGTTCCATTAGCAGAAGCAGGCTTTAAAAAGTGGATGATAAGAAACTTCTGGGAATTAAAAGAACTTGTTCTAACCCAATGCAAAGAAATTAAGAACTTTGAAAAAAGGTTTGACGAAATGTTAACAATAACACACAATTTAGAGAGGAATATAAGTGAATTAATGGAGCTGAAAAATACAACACGAGAACTTCACAAACTATGCACAAGTTTTAACAGCCGAATTGATCAAGCAGAAGAAAAGATATCAGAGGTCGAAGACCAACTTGATGAAATAAAACAAAAAGACGAGATTAGAGAAAAAAGGATAAAAAAGAATGAGCAAAGTCTTCAAGAAATATGGGACTATGTGAAAAGACCTAATCTACGTTTGATAGGTGTATCTGAATGTGACGTACAGAATCAATCCAAGCTGGAAAATACGCTTCAGGATATTATTCAGGAAAACTTTCCCAACCTAGCAAGGCAGGACAATATTCAACTCCAGGTAATACAGAGAACACCACAAAGATATTCCTCAAGAAGACCAACTTCAAGGCATATAATCGCCAGATTCACCAGGGTTGAAATGAAAGAGAAAATACTGAGGGCAGCCAGAGAGAAAGGTCAGGTTACCCATAAAGGGAAGCCCATCAGACTTACAGCAGATATCTCAGCAGAAACCCTACAAGACAGAAGAGAGTGGGGGCCAGTATTCAACATCCTTAAAGAAAAGAACTTTCAACCCAGAATTTTACATCCAGCCAAACTAAGCTTCATAAGCGAAGGAAAAATAAAATCTTTTGTGAACAAGCAAGCACTCAGAGATTTCATCACCACCAGGCCTGCTTTACAAGAGCTTCTGAAAGAACCACTACAAATAGAAAGGAACAACCAGTATCAGCCTTTCTAAAAAAATACCAAAAAATAAAGAACATCAACATAATTAAGAAATTGCATCAACTAATGGGCAAAACAGCCAGCTAACATTAAATGACAGTATCGAACACACATATAGTGTTATTAATTTTAAATTTAAATCGACTAAATCCCCCAATCCAAAGACACAGACAGGCAAAAAAACCCAAGACCTATTGGTATGCTACATCCAGATCCATCTCACATGCAAGGATACACAAAGACTCAAAACAAAGGGATGGAGAAAAATTTACCAACCAAATGGAGAGCAAAAATAAATAAATAGAAAGCAGGAGTTGCAATTTTTGCTGATAAAATAGATTTCAAAGCAACAAAGATCAAAAGAAGCAAAGAAGGATATTACATAAAGATAAAAGGATCAATGTAACAAGAAGAGCTAAAGATCCTAAATATATATGCACCCAATACAGAAATACCCAGATATTTAAGACTATAAAGAGACTTGGACTCCCACACAATAATAGTGGGAGACTTCAACATCAATATTAGACAGATCAATGAGACAGAAAGTTAACATCAATATTCAGGACTTGAACTCAGATCCAGAACAAGTAGACTTAATTAACATTCATAGAACTCTCCACTTTAAATACACAAAATATACACTCTTATCAGTACTGCATCACACGTATTTACAGGTTTAAATGAAATATTGGTTGGCTGCTTGTTAATTATTTTCTTCCCTCATTTTTTTTTAATGTCTCTATTATTAAATACAATTACAGGCATACCCAGTTTTAGACTGCATTCTAGCCCGGGCAATAAAGCAACACCCCTGTTCTCTCTCCCTCTTCCTCTTCCTCTTTCTTCCTTTCCTTTATTCTTTTTCTTTTTTTTAATTCTTTTTCTTTCTTTCTCTCATTCTTCCTCTAAAAAAAAAAAAAAGACCACCAAGAAAAGTTTATAACAATGTAAGTTGATCATTGTCTAACATGCATATACCTTTGCCAATGTATCCTTAAGAATTATATCAGCAACTCATATATACCCAGTATTTTCTCCCTGGAACAATTTTCTCATCTCTGCTCTTTCTTCCTCCTCCTCCCCTTACCTCTGTATATACTTTTATACTACCTAGTGTTTTAGATGTCAGTGAAATAGTGATCTCCTCAGAGAGAATATCTGGAACTAAACACCTCCACCCCACCCATGCCAGTCTAAACTGGGGTCCCTGCTACTAATTTCCTCACAGCACCCCTTACCCTGTCACTTGCTTAAATTCGGTATTTATTTGAATGATTATTTAATCATGTTTCTCTTCACTATTACAAGCTTAAAAGTACCAGAATTATGTCTGGTTTTGCTCACTGTTGTGAACCTGGCACATAGTAGGTATTCAGAGAATATTTCTTGGCTGAATGAAAAGATTCAGAATTCTGCATGGCTTGTAAGATAGACCAAAACTGTGCACTGCAATGCAGTCCATCCAGAAGCATAAGACGATAAACTAACAAGAGTGATTGTTTTTGTTACTTACCATCTCTTGCAGAAAACATGAAGCTATCAGGCTTTGATACCCTCTGAAGTCTCAAAGTCATTATTATTTAGTTGGATAATAATTGATGGACAATTTTCATGATGACTATGTAATATAAGAAACACTATATCATCAAAAATTATTTTGGGGTAACATTCAGCATGTTTTTTCTTGCTTTTATTTCTTCATTTTCATTTTCACTTTATTGCCTTGCAAAACAAACTGTAAATTCCTTCAATAACATTTGAAAATCCACTTGAGAACTGACTGTAAGAGCACTAAGAGGTCAATTGCTCAGGAGTATATTATTCCTATATTCTACAATTTTGATTTCTCTGTATTTCTTTTTTTCTATTATTTGAGAGGGAATCTCACTCTGTCACCCAGGCTGGAGTGCAACGGCATGGTCTCGGCTCACTGCAACCTCTGACTCCCAGGTTCAAGTGATTCTCCCACTTCAGCCTCCTGAGTAGCAGGGGCTACAGGTACGTGCCACCATATCCAGCTAATTTTTGTATTTTTAGTAGAGACGGGGTTTCACCATGTTAGTCAGGGTGGTCTCCAACTCCTGACTTCCTGATCCACCCGCCTCAGCCTCACAAAGAGCTGGGATTACAGGCATGAGCCACCGCGCCCGGCTGATTCCTCTGTGTTTGAACACTCAAAGCTAAAGGTGTGCCTGGGCTCCTTTTAGTATGGAAAAGTTATTAACATGTGTGAATAGTTCCATAAAGCCCTAGACATTGGAAATTAATGAGAATATGGATAAATTTTATTTAGATGTGTTTCTGAAGGTTTGCATCAAGTGATTTCAATGTTTTTAAGAAATAATTTTCCATCAATAACAGATACATGTCAAGATGGTCTTTAAATGTTAAACAATTTTTCTCAATAATTTTGCTGAAGTCTTCTGTGTTGTTTGTCCATATACAGCACCTCTGTTGAACAGTTGATTCTGATTTTAAATATAAGGGTTTGGATAGAAAGGAAATAAATTTTGTTTAGGCACTATGAGATTCCTATATGTTACTATTTCAACTGTATTACTCCTCACAAAAATCTATGAGATAGATTCTATTAATCTCATTTTATAGAAAAGAAGGCTGAAGATCTTAGAGCTCAAATAACTTTAATCCCAGAGATCAGGTGAATGGCAGAGTTGGGCCCAAAGTTTCTGCAATTTCCTTTGGACTACACTACTTTCACTGGGTACTTTCAGACCAGCGCAATTTGCATGACAGCTCTCTCTTTCAAAGAACACCAACCAAATCGTCCCTTCCTTCAAAGCCCTATGCCACTGGGCTCCATGCCTCAAGTTGGGGAATGGCTAAATAGATTGGAATAGCAGCATTTATTACACAAACCCTATTGTGTTCAGCACAGCCACTTTCACTTTTCAGTGTAATTAATCTCCCCAGGGCAAGTGTTTTGTGGGCATATTTGCTATGGGAAGACCAAGCTTTATGCTTATGTATCCTGTGGCAAAAACAGATCTTCCCAATGATGGGAAAAAGTTGTAATAACTTCAGCTCTTGGTCTCTAAATCTTTCAGGAGCCTCTAATGAAACATATTTCTACTTTTTTTTTTATTGTTTACTGGCCTTTCAGATTAGAAACCTCCCATGAGGTAGTTCCTTTCGTCAAGACACAGTGGAATGTAGATGATGCTCTCATGTGTTTAATGACAATGAGATAGAGGGAGTAAGAACATCACATGCATCCACTCTCAGCTATGTCTAAAACACCATGGTCAATTCTCTTGTTAGCCACTTATCAACTCAGCTTTCCAGACAGTAAAGCCACATGGTGTACCTTTTAGTGTATCTGGCAAGTTCACAATGAATACTTCATTGAAAAATATTTGAACAATTGGTGACTCTTAGATAAAAAGATGTCTAGACCAACAGCCGACTATAAAGATAACTGTTCAGATGCTGAGTCAGATTCTACCTAATGCTCTTATATTTGTGCATGTCCCAATCAAGAATGGGAGAAAAAAAATTGAGAATTTCCATTGCCTTAATCGCCCCATGTTTCATCTATCTCTTTGTTCTTAATACTAAGCAAGCAACTGATGGAATTTCTAAATTGCTGTTATTATTACTTAAAGAAAGCTGTAAGATTAAATAGTATTAAGGGCAGCGGATGCTAGGAATACAAGGGACACCATGGGCATACAAGAACAGTAAACAAAAACGTGGATGCAGTGAACAAAACAATAATGTTAATTCTTTCATGTACTCCTGATGCTGAAAGGCCAAGGTAATAAGATGGTGGGTCTAATGATTCTTATACAATTTTAGGTCTATGGGACCTGTAGACCAACTTGGCTATTTTTTTCACTGAATTTGTTTGAATTCTCATGGAGACACCACCATGAAACTCAAAATGTCTACTTGACTTAATTTTATTAGCTGAAAAATACAAAGAAAGCCTTTTTTCATGTCATGACGTTATTTAAAAATTGGAGGGAAGCTTTCATTGCAATCTGTAAAAAGAAAACAGCAGATCTCAGCAGAGTGGCTGACAGGTGACACAAATACAATGCATGCTAATGTGCAAAGAGAAAGAACCTTGAGAGTTTAAACTAGCTGCAACAGAAAAAAAAATCTTTATCCAGATATGTGGTCCCTCATGAATTATACTATTATTTTAGTTGATTTTACCTGACATTACCGTATGATTTTTTTTCCGTGATAAGAAAATTGCAGCCAGCCCTTGACAGTTGGTCACAAATTGACCGAACAAAACAAAATCAAACAGTGAAGTAATCCCCAAATAAATTTAATGGAACCTAAATCCCAAAGGGCAGCACACTTCTGTAGGCAATGGTCTTATTTAATAAATTTTTCGCTGCTTTCACTTTTAGAGCTATATTTACGCAGACAAATTTAATTCATTGGGTTTATATTTCCTCTTCCCCTTAGTTTGTCCACCAGGCACATATGGAAAGGACTGTAACCAGGTATGTCAGTGTTCAGCCAAAAATGAGGACTGTCACCCAGTCATAGGGAGATGCACCTGTATGTCTGGCTACCATGGAAACCACTGTCTTCTCTGTATGTGTGTTCTGTGCTCAGCTGTAATTTATTGAGGAGGCACTGGTGGGGTTGGGGGTCATCACTCGGAATACCAAGGGCAAATGTTAATTGAAGCTTCTAATTCATAGAAAATTCTGTTAGAATTTATATTTGACTAGTTGAAAACATATACTTTCTGTGTAATTCATTCTTCTATTTTGTCTTTTCTATTCAAAATATTCCCAAGTTCTTCACAAGTATCCACCATGGAAAGAAAAAGAATAAAAAAGAGAAAAAAAATAAGAAAACATAAACTTATTATTATGAATCAACAAAGAGCAAACTACAATATATTTCAAGTGATTCATAAAGTAAGTTAATTCTAGGGTCTGCTTAGGAACAATTAAATTAAGCAAATTGTTATTCTGGAGTGAAAATGATGACTAGCTTAAATGACCAAATGCCAGTTGGCTCCTTATTGTGTAATAAAAAAGAATAGTCCCTAGACCAAGCACCTTACATTGATTTTTTAAAGGATATTTTAACATTGAAAATGGTTATGGAAGAATGCAGAAAAAGAGTCCCAAGGAGCATGTTAAAATGTTCAGCCAGCTACTTATTTTTTAAGCTTGTAGTTATTTATAATGTACTTTATATAGATTTAATTTTTCCCCCAACTTGGCGACTGCTGCTCTCTTCCCTCCCTAGTCATTCCTAGAGCAGATTCTTTTTATTTTCCTGATTCTACAAGGATATGAATAATTTGGGGATTTTTCTCCCTAAACCCAAAATATTGACTCCTTGTCAAGCTATTGATTTTAATTTTCTATAAGCCATTGAGTATATGTTTTAAATATATCTTCCCTATTTTGTCCTAATTTTAAACATTACCAGCTGAAAACACAATTAAGCATGTATGAAAATGGTTCCAATTATTGTTTTGCTTGGGACCTGTAACCATTGAAGTTATTCAAACTTAAAATGAAGAACTAAAATATAAAATTAATCAATTTCTATTAGTTTTCAGTTTCTTCTTTATATCGAGGATGTTTTATCCTAATAAAATAATATCAAGTTACATGTAACTGGGTTGCACTTTTATTTCAGAAGGCAAGCTACCTTTAGTTGAAGGAGGGTAGCTTTACCTTATAAAAAGTGAGACTGGCTGAGTCAGGGAACGGCTCCCTGACTAGTCAAATTGGCTTATTTCCAGGCAACACGTGGTTGGATGTGGCTGCAAGGATTCCTTGGCAACATCAACTATAATTACAGGACTATGAAAGAAGATTCAAGAAAATATCCATAAAAGGTGTAGCTGGCTTAAAAGCAAAACGTTCAGCAGCCAAGAACAACTGGACTTTCGTGTTCTCGAGTTCGGAATGGAGAATCAAAATTTTCTCTCAGCAGAGGTCAGAGGAAGCAGACAAACTTACAGCAGAATCTCATCACTTGTTCATATTTCAGAGGAGAGGTGGGTCAGTCCTAACTTATGGATAGCATGTAGGAAAAACAATAATTCCTGTTAGATGTAAACTCATAGCGCTATGTACTTTATGATCAATAAGAGATTTTAAAGTGACCACAGACCCTGGAAACCCTTTACTTCTCCAACCTGTATGCAATACGTGCTATTTAAAGTCACTCTCTTTAAGGATATTTAAGGCATTAGAGTCCTCTCTAACTATGGTCACTTCTTTTAACAGTGTTTATGAAAACACCACCACCCTTGGTATAGAATGCTTTGAGAAGCATGGGCCACACAGTATTCGCCAGTGCCAAGAGAAAAATATCAAGACATTTGCAGAAGTTTGGCTTTAATGCTATTGCTCATAGCAATAAAAATTCAAACAGACCAAAAATGTCAGTATCTCCTTTTAAGAATAAAGCAAAACTGCATAACAATGGCTCATGTATCTGAGTAACCTGGTAAAATACTAAGAAAACAGACTGTGGAAAACAGATTCATGCTTTTCATTTCTTGGGAGCTACGTGTCTCAGGATGCAGTCATAGCCTTGTTTGTTTTAAGTTTCTAATGATAGTACCAAAGGCCATTCACATAATAATAGTATACAGTAGCAAAGGGGCTTCCATTTAACCTTTAATGTTTAAACAAATCAGAACTGTAAATTCCTATCCGAACTTCTTGGAATGAGAATTCAAGAGGAGATGTACAAGGATAGGAAAAACAATAGTCACCTTGTAATAGAAAATAACTAAACACACCTTGCCAGAAATACAAGATTTCCAGGGAGAAATAATTATAAATTACAGAGTAAAGGCCAAGTAAAGATCAAAATGGATTTAGGAAATGAGGGAAGGGGTGAGCCAAGTAAAATCATTGTGTCGTTTATGTGCATTTTGTTGTTAAATTTGGCGAACGTTTGAGCAAGTGCTGTGTGCGTGATTCCAGAATTCAGACTTCACATAGCACAGAATTGGATAGGAAAGTGAAATTGTCTATAAAATAATTTACTCTTAGAAAAAAAATGTCATGGGCTCATCTGTAAACACATATCATATTCTTGATACAAATTTAATGGGTTTTGGGACTAAGAGGTTAGCACAGATAGTATCTTTCAAATAGATGGCTCACTCATTAGTAGGTTAATTTCGTTAAGTTCAGTTTCCCAATTTCAAAAGTCGAAGGCTAAAAATCAGGTGATTTTCAAATACACACACACACACACACACACACACACACACACACACACACAAACATATATATACACACACATGAAGAAAGAACAACAAAGGATGATTCTATCAAATATAAAACTGTCTTTGGAAAATAGGTTCACATCATCGGAAAATTATGTTTTCTAAGTAACTGATTCATATGAAAATTATCTCAAAATCTAGACCTTCACCTATATCAGTTATTTAAATTCATCAATTAAGCAAGCTGTTTTTTTTTTCTTTCAGCTGAGAAGCTGATTCTTTGATAGTGTGATTATATCTAAAGTGTAACATTTCCCTCCATTGCAACGTAAGTTTCACTCTTTATTGTGTTGCCCCTTTCCTTACTTGCATAGAAATCCATGTTATCTTTCCCTTCAGAGTAATACCACTGGAGAGTTTTCGATACCAGTGAACTCTTATTAATTTAACCTCCTTTTCTGAAAGCAGTATGTCAGCAGTACACATCAGACCTTAAGTTTCAGTTGCCATATTTTCAGCATGATTTTCAGCATGTTTTATGCATTTTTCTCTAATGTCAAGCAACCAAACATTCTTTTTCAGCATCACATTTATTTTACTGTATTAGTAACTTGATAAAAACTGTAAATACCTATGTTCTCAAAACTGACCCAAATGGATGTGAAAGAAGCATTTTTATATCTTGGTGAAAGATAGAAGAGAAGAAGATGGAGACTTAAAAAAAAATCACTAATTTTTTTTTAGGTACATTGATTCACTGATTCTGTTTTTGGGTTACATTCAATTGTTACAAGTGAGAGAGAAAAAAACTACTTGGGAAGACTGAAAAAAAAAAATGCTGTGCACCAAAAAGGGTTAATTACCTATGAAAATTGACATCGCTTGATGGGAGGAAATGACTCACAGGAGTGAACGTGGCGTAAACCCACTGTTTTTCACAGAAAGCAATAAAGAAGCACAATAGCTGTACAAGTGAATAATCTTTGGTATGAGCAGTTTTAAAGTGTTTGCCTTCCATCTCCATAATGAAGAATTTCATTTTTAACTGGAATGAAAAGGGAGGAAAGAATCAGCCACTGTTGAGTAGATAAGCAAATCTGAGACTCAAGATGAGAATTTTATGTTTCCAGACAGGATATATGTGGGAATTATAAAAATTTGAATCTCAACACAAACCATTCTTTGGCCATTATTTATCTCTTACACAAGCATCATCATGGTAGGCCATACCTCCCTGAATAAGAAAGTAGAAAATAGAAAAACTAATAGAAAATGAAGAGGCATCCTCTATACTTGGTTCCTTTTTGAATTCTTACATTTATTAAACCCAGATCATTCCAGACAAGACAAGCTATAACACTTAAATATTTAAAATAATGAATTTATGTATGTTGAAATTAGATAGCCTTGTTCAGTGAATTGTCTCCTAAGCACTTTCAGAATGGAAAAAAATGTTTGCAATCTACCCACCTGACAAAGGGCTAATATACAGAATCTATAAAGAACTTAAACAATTTACAAGAAAAATCAACCCCATCAAAAAGTGGGAAAAGGATATGAACAGACACTTTTCAAAAGAAGACATTTATGCAGCCAACAAACATATGAAAGAAAGCTCATTATCCCTGGTCATTAGAGAAATGCAAATCAAAACCACATTGAGATACCATCTCAGCCCGGTTAGAATGGCGATCATTAAAAAATCAGGAGACAAATGCTGGAGAGGATATGGAGAAATAGGAACACTTTTACACTGTTGGTGGGAGTGTAAATTAGTTCAACCATTGTGGAAGACAGTGTGGTGATTCCTCAAGGATCTAGAAATAGAACCATTTGACTCAGCAATCCCATTACTGGATATATACCCAAAGGAGTATAAATCATTCTGTTATGAAGACACATGCACATGTGTGTTTATTGTGGCACTGTTCGCAATAGCAAAGACTTGGAACCAACACAAATGCCCATCAATGATGGACTGGATAAAGAAACTGTAGCAGATATACGCCATGGAATACTGTGTAGCCATAAAAAAAGATGAGTTCATGTCCTTTGCAGGGACATGGATGAAGCTGGATACCATCATTCTCAGCAAACTGAACAAGAACAGAAAACCAAACAACACATGTTCTCACTCATAGGTGGGTGTTGAACAATGAGAGCACATGGACACAGGGAGGGGAACATTGCACACCAGGGCCTGTCAGAGGTGGGAGCGCTAGGGGAGGGATAGCCGGGGCGGGGGGGGGGTGGTGTTGGGAGGATAGGGGAGGATAACATTGGGAGAAATACCTAATGTAGACGATGGTGGGATGGATGCAGCAAACCACCACGGCACATGTATACCTATGTAACAAACCTGCACATTCTGCACATATACCCCAGAACTTAAAGTATAATAAAAAATAAAAATAAAAAATAAAAGTAGGTAGATTTACAAGGAAGTGCAAAGTTAAGTTATACCTTACTAATGGGCAGCATCAAATACTAATAATTTCTGTATCATCTCATATCCTCAGATAACTCCATGCCTTGAATCAACAACTTGAAGGTGACTGAAAATATCAATAGTATTTGGAATGTTGAGTTAACCACATTAATTCTTTGGGTATATACCCAGGAATGGGATTGCTGGCTCAAATGGCGTGTCAACTGGAGTGAATTTAAACACTGTTTGCTGTAAGTTACAATACCACATATGGTTTTGTTCTCCTTTAACAGGATGCCCAAGAGTCATGTTTAGTCCATATTGCCAAAAGATGTGTAAGTCCCTGAATGGTGGCATCTGTGACACCCATGATTGGCACCTGTATCTGCCTTCCTGGCTTCACTGGGTCTGACTCAAGTCAAAGTAAGTTATTCTTACCATGATGGAGTGGATATGCTGATCATTCCAAGGCCCGATAATGGTAGCAAATGTACTAAAAGCTAACTGGAGTTTTTAAGAACTGCAGTTAAAGAATATATGTTGTTGCAATTATTTTACTTCCTAATTTACAGTACTAACAGCAAACACAAGCTGACCTAAATTCTAGGTTGAAGAATATTTATGTAGGAGTTTGGCTAAAAGCTGAAGTCAGTGAAAGTAGCCAAGGAGATCTTTTTGGTGATAACTCCCTTGCCCCAGCAATGTTAGACTCAAGTCAGTATTAGAAAATATGTTGCCAAGATCAGAGCAAACTTGAGATTTTTGTGTTCACAATGTCAAACTCATTGTCTAAAGTTCCACAATTTCATTTATGCTTAGTGATTCCCTAGCTCAAAAGTAAGTGGTTTCACTCCTCACCAAAAAGTGAACAGTTTCCTAAAAGCCAAAGACCTTAAATTAACTACTTATCACAAAAGCAACTATTGCCATAAAGTTTAAGGCACTGGACTGAAGAACCCTTACAAATTCACAGGCTTAGACACTCTGAGGTTATAGATACCAAGTATATTTTGTTTTTGTTATTTTTCGGATGTGCCATTTAAAAAATATGTATATAGTTTTTGCTTAACCCAAATAACTACACATACTCATATACTCTGACTCCTCTGACTCTTCTGGTGACAGTCAAAATGAAACTCTCACATGTGAAGCCATAATTATGATGGTTTCTAGGGAGGATAAAGGAAGCAATGAGCAGGGGAGTACATTGTCGGAGAGTCCATCCTGGCAATACTGAATTGTTGACACGAGTGCTATGAATGAGGATGTTCACTTTGTGATCATCCATTGAACTGAATATTGTGTTTTGTGCTTTATTCTGTAATCTTATACCTCACAATTAAAAGAGAAAAGTACCTCCAATAGATCTTAAACTAAAGATGGAAGTACTGCCTCAACCCTCATCCATGTACACACACCTCAACATCTATGAAGTAGATTATGAAATACCTTCATTTGCTATTCCTTCATTTGGATGAATGATAGCTACGTTTGTAATTTAGGGTACTAAACTGTTATGTGCTAAAGATACCCAAAATACTTATGCTTCCTGGGCAGCTAATTGCTTTGCCTGCTTTGTAGGAGGGTAATTTTTCTGTTTAAGTGCCCTGCAGGCCTCAGCACTCTGCTGTATTCAGAATAAGAGACAAGAGAAAACCTGGCTCGAGGTAGCATTCAACTGACACTTAGTGGATAGTGCCTCCTGAGGCCTCAACTGGCAAGTTGTCTTTCAGTTAAAGCCAACCTATAAACATTTCTTAAGCCAGGTTCTGTCTGCCCTTTGCATTTGTTCTTCAAAGAGAGTAAGTGGAAGAAATGTCCTCCTGCCAAGCATTTTCAAAAGCTGTGATTTCTGGGAACGCTGGGGGTACTTTTGTCTTCAGAAAGTTGTGATCTTGTACCTGAGCACTTTCCATTTGCTTTCACAGCTAAGTAGGATAGAGCCAAATTTGCAATCCACCTCTTAAATGTTCCAAAAAATATGATACTTATTTTATATTATTACTGCATTTTCCCCTTATGTGATTCTCAACAGATATTTATTTTATCTTTGTGTGTTATATATATTTTGGTAAGCATCTCGATGAATTTGTGGAATGAAGTTGCCAAAAAAATAACCAAATTAATAATGTAAATATATAAATGAATATTTGAAGATATGAGCATTATGAATCTTATATTTGTGTATAGGAACTTTAGCTAAAATTATAGAATGGGCTTTAAGAGAACATACTTAAGATTATTACAAATATATGTTTGTAATACATATAATATACATACATATATTGTATAACGTATGTACACATACCTAAATATGTTATATAACATACATGTACACATAATGTACCTACATATATTATGTAATATATATGTAATATACATACACCACATGCATATATGTGTAATATATACATATGCATACACATACACATACACACATACTCTCTCTTACACTTGCTAAGACACTTTGCTTTGGCAAAGCAAAGCAATCCAAATTGGGAACAGTTGAGGTCCCTAATGTGTAAGAGACATTTATATTATATGTAAGTTTTTGACACTAGATATTTGGTTGAAAATTCCTAACACCAACTAAAATGGCTCTATGTAGCAACAATTTAAACAGTCCCTTGTTTTGCTTTGTTTATTTCTAAGCAACCTTTCAGACTGAAAATCAAACTAACAGCAAGTCAGTAAAACCTATTTGATTAAATGAAAATGCCATGTATTTCACAAGTTTAAAAAAAATCTTGTCTGGAAAAATATTTAATAAGAAAAATCTGGTTTTGTTTTGCTCTGGTTTATTTTGCTCTTACTTGCTGCTTGTCCTGAAGATCGCCATGGGCAGGACTGTGTTCGACGGTGCTCCTGTGGCTCAGGACAGTGTGACCCAATGACTGGAGTGTGTCACTCTCCACCTGGCCAAATGGGAACCAGGTGTCAGGAAGGTAACAATGATGGCAGGGTCACCTTCTATGTCCAACCACTACGTTAGCTACGCAGCGAAAGCAGATTTGGTGCCAAGGAAGATAACTATATGGGCAATATTTACAACAGTTTTTTTCTTTTAATGTGAGTTTCAAATAACATGAAAGTGCATGCTCCCATAGCGCTATATAGAAAATAGCTTCCTGGAAGATAAGCATAAATTGGAAAAAAAGGTAAATAATAACTTATGCATACTCTTGACTAAGAAAAAATTTTTAGATAACATTTATTAACTTTTATAAAACTGCCAAAAATTGTGTGTTGGAGATATCTAATTATAAGAACTAAAGAATGTTACATCCTCTTCAACGAGGTTGAACCTGAAGAGGCTCCCTGAGATCTATAGAAAAAATGGGAGACAAAGAGAAAAACACAATCTGTTGAAAACTGCAAAACTTTCTTCACCTAATTGTAATAGTTATTATTACTATCATAAGGAGAGAAGAGCTGTCAAGTTTCAGAAAACAGGGATTTTTAGGGAGAATAATGGGCCCCTACAAATCCAAAGTAGGGCCAGCAGAGCAGCCCCTTCTCCATGGCACACACAGAGAGCAAAACTAAGGACACTTTCCTGAAAAATAAGGATTGCGTCAATAGAAGGGCTATAAAAACTTCTCTGAATCCCACTGAACATCTTAGAGTGGAAAAAAACTGGAAAAAAAAAAAACAAGAATTGCACAGACATACCATGTTTTTAAATTTGCACCAGGACAGAAAGAAATTTGTGGGTAATTAGCAGCCTGATAACTAAAGGGGAGGTAAACACACACACACACACACATTATACACACACACACACACACACACACGCATGCATCCTACATGCTGTGTTATATGGAGCTGCACTCTGGATGAAGAAGGTTTTCTTTTAACTAAGATCATTTTTCTAAGCCTAAATCAATACTACCCTTCCAGAAATACCTAGTACATTGCAAAATGAAGCTTGTGCATAAAATACTCCTCTCATTTTACAAACAAAAAAAAATGAAACCATTCAACGCTTCCCTTGCTTTTTTAGTGCAAATTCTGTAAGAAGGAAAAATGAGAAAAGGAATATGGAAAAGAAAAGGCAGATGAACCAAGAGCAGAAAAGTTTTGCCATGGAGCACATGAAGATATTAACTAGAATCTCTTCCAAGAATTCAAAGGATGTAATGAAAAAGTGTTCTCTATAAAATGTGAGTGCAGTGCAGAGATACAAGGGTTCATGGAATAAATGAAAAGACAACAAAAGGAAATGAAAAAGTAAGCTGGCAGAGCTCAAAAAAGAAGTGGAAATGAAAATTAAACCTCACATCACATAAATGAAGGCCGTATTGGGAGCAGGTAAAAAAAGGACAGAATCTGCTGATAGTACAGCTAGGTTAAAAAAAAATGAGGAAAGTGAAAATGATGAAATGGAAAAGAAATGAGAAAGAAATATATAATTGGAAGAGGAAAATATTTAGATATACTATTCAAGATTCTTTCTTTGAAAGAAAAGATCTGATGCTACATATTAAATTGAGTATATTTTATCCCAGGAAATAATAGTTACAGTGGCTGAAAGGCAAGGGGAAACTCCATTGAGGATATCAGGAAATGTATGAGCTTACTTAAGAGGAGAAAAATCAGTCTGACTTTTTACCTCACAGCAATATTCATTACTAACATACAGCTAATCAATGCCTATTAAGTTCAGGAGGAAAAAATGTGACAGGTATTTTATACACAGTTAAGCTGTTATTCAAATATAACATGGTGGCAAATTAACCACTTTTTTAAAGTTGCTGGAAGTACAGTAGCCTTAAATTTTCTGAAGAAACTATTGCAAGATTAATTTGAGCAGCCAAATAATAAATGAGAAATATCTGATAAAAAGACTATTAGTAAACATTAAATTCATCATAATTAAGGCTAAGTTTAAAACAATTGTGAAAATTTTCCTACATGATGGAATATAAATATTATAAATTATAACAATTTTAAAATAGCTCTAACAGGGCATAAACTGGAAAGACAGAGAATGCGAAGGAGTATAGCTATACTGATTTTATTTCCTCATTAAAGTTTGTGGGGTATGTGGGATAGATCTGTGTCAAAACATATTGTTTAAATATAACAATTCAATAAGTATGTTTAAGTGTATAAAGGTGCATTCTAGAATTTAGAATGCTTCAATTGAGATTTTAAGAATAAAAATACAGCCAACTAAAATCAGGTGGAGAGAAATGAAAAAAAAAAAAAAAGAGAAAGCAGAATCATATCAATTTCAATACCATTTATACTGAGTTAACACATACTAAATAATGAAATTTATTATATTATGTAATATCTGAACTATCTAAAAAGGATTCCATAAATTATGTAAGACTATATTTATAATATAAGTACGTAGAGAACGTGTAGAGAACAATGGAGTGCACACACCTTTTCCTATTGCTCTCTCTTAACACAGTAAAAATTCCATACAATGTAGAAAATAAACTTAAGTCCCCGAAATATGAAGAAAAGAAAGCAGATTGGATAAGAACCTTAGAAATCTAGGAAACAGCATGATGGTAAATTCCCTGGTTTGGTTTTGTTTGTCTCATATATCCCAGATTGGGTGCTGGAGAAACCTACAACCCGGGGAGGCCAATGGGTGGAGACAAAGATCTAAGATACCTCTGATTTCTCTAGTCAAAGGACAGGAAAGGCGGCAGTCTAGCAAGGCAGAAAACTTTTAGAAAATAACTGGTCTTCTTCAGGCAAACACTATGAAACGAAACTGTATCCTCAACCCCAATCCCATTAGCAAGGGCCAAATGAGGAGTACACTTCAAACCCCATCTTGATGCAAGAAGATACCCCTCTCTACCCCACAAACCAGGATTGTGTAAAAAAAAAAAGCAAAGAATAATAAAAGACATTAAGATGTACCAAGTGGAAATTTTAAAAATGGAAAATAAAATTACCAAAATAAAATCTCAGTGGATGAGTTCAACAGCAGAATGGAGTGGACAGAGGAACGAACCAACGAACTTGAAGGAATGATGGAAATAACCCAATCTGAACAACAAAGAGAGCAAAAAATAGCAACCAACACACACACACATACACACACACACAGCCTCAGAGACCTGTAGTACTATAACCAAGTATCTACTATTTATGTCATCTGAGTCCCAGAAGAGGAAAAAGAGGGTGGAGATGAAAAAATATAGGGAATAATTGTTGAAAATTTTCTGAATGTGACAAGAAACATAAATCTACAGATTGAGGAAGCTATGTTAATGCCAAACAAGATAAACTCAAAGAAACCTACCAAAGTCATATCAACATAATTTAACTAAT